CCGTCAGCCAGCCCCAACCCCTCTCCCAAATGCACCAATCAGGTGGGACCTGGGGGCGGGCTGGGGAGGGGCCAGGGGCCTGGCTGTGGCAGATGAGCCCCTGAGAGAGACAAGAAGCAAAGGTGGGGGTCCCCTAACAAAGGTGATGTGATCCAGAGGATGACAGAGCTTATGGAAGGCCCATGGGAACACAAAGGTGGGAGCTGCAGCCCTGTGGGATCGGGGATAGACATTCATGAGCCCCTCCTCTGGGAAAGTGTTGAGCCTTGTTTGGGCTGTGGACCCCCAAGAAGGAGGGCTTCCCACGCAGCATAAGCTCGGAGTAAATATCTCCATGGACTCGTTGCATTTTAGAGGGACAGATGTGTCGCCTCGGCGAGAAGATCCCTCTGGGGATTTCAGGGATGCTGGGAGGCCTCTATAATCCTTCCCTCGTCCTCTCCAACTGCACCCCAAATGATTCGACTGATGTCAGAAATCCCACCACTAAGGTTTTATTCCTGGAGCCTAAGACCCTGTACCCCGGGAAGATGTGATTTCCTCATAAAGAGGGAGTGACTATTCTAAGCCTCATCTCAAAGGAGCCATGGTAAAATGGGAGGCTGGCCCTGCACCCCCAAATACATCCATCAGCCCAAAGAGCTACAGGCTCTGCCAAGTGGTTTTACCTCCCCGCACCTCGGTCTCGTCCCTGCCATCTGGGAGGCGGCAGGGCTCCACTAAGTGCCATCCTCGCCAGTTTCACCTACCTCTGGGCTTGGCTTGCACCACCTCGGTCGATCCTCACCACTATCCCGGGGGAGCTGCGGGCCGACATCGGGCCCCGGTGGACAGGTGAACAGGCCCTGCCTTGCCCAAGGCCTCACACACGGCTCAGGTGCAGGTACCCAACCCTCCATGTTCTCAGGACACTGGCTTACAAATTGGGCACCCTAGAGCCCAGGGGGTCCCCAGGGGTGCCCCAGAGGCTGGGACGGGGGACCAAACCAAGAGGGAGGCAAGCTGCCACTCTTAAGAGGCCTTTGGAAGTAGAGGCTCCACTGGGGAAGGTGGTTTGAAAATCACCACATCACCTGGTGCCGTGTTTGAGCATCAAACGGACACATGGAGGAGAAGCCAGGCCCTGCACCTGTCTGCCCTCCTCCCTGCATCAGGAGCACGGGTTTACCGGCGATACAGGTCTCCTCCTATAACTTCTGCGGCCCTGAAAACAAGTCCTTGGAGGCCTGGATTCTTGCTGCTACTTGCATGATCGTGACTCAGCGGAGTGCCTGTCTTTTCTGATCGATTCCTCAGGAAGGAAGCAGCAGTATCAGACTCGTGGCTGGTGCTCGCTGAGATGCGTGGTCCCACAGAGGACCCTCCTAGAACAGGACTGATGGGCACATTGCCACGCCGGTGCTTAAGCCCCCCCGCCCCCATGATCTTGTTATAAAAATTCTAGAAGCATTCGGTCCCCACTCCCAAGTTGGTCCTTTTTCCATAGTGAGTTAGATAGCAGAGGCCCAGGGGGTCACCCACCCCGTCGGCTGCAGGCCCTGGGGACCGTGGAAATCCATAAACCCACCCTCAAAACGGGAGCAAGTCAGGAGCCAAGTGTCCAGTGGGAGGAACATTCTGTACAGCTCTCCCGAGTCCCTGGCATGCTCAGGCAACCCAAAACCGCAGCGGGCGCGCCGCTGGCTGGCCAGAGCGGGCTGGGAGCAGCATGACGGAAGCAGACGGCCCCGCCGTGGCGTCAGGAGGGTGTTCATCTCCCGGGAGGGGCAGGCTTCTGCCAGGGCCCAAACCGAAGGACAGATCCGTGTCGCCCCTGTTCCTGCAGGGTCCCCGTGTGTCACAGGTGCCCAGTAAACACCTGGGGGGCGGGACCTTGCAGGACAGGAGGCACGACGAGCCAGTATCGCTGTTGTCGGGGCTTGGCTGGATTTGAGTGGCCCGTTTCCCTGTCCGGGGGGCCCTAGGGGGCTCCCCTCCACGGGTCCCTGGGCCAGCCCATCATCTCTGGGCGAGGCTGGATCCCCCTGTCGAGGAGGGGACCCACGGGCTGGAAGAACAGCCGGCAGGCGCGGGACCCGAGTTCTCCAGGGCTCTCTCCTAGCCTGAGGAGGCAGTCATTGGGGAACATGATCACCAGGAAGGAGAGGGTGCTTCCGGAGAGGGGCCACCCAGGAGGGTTGAGGTGAAAAAAATGAGCAGCATTAATACTCCACAGCCATGTGATACACACCTGCCCTTGCCACAGCCTCAGGACTCGAAGCTGGAGGCGGGGAGATAGAAAGCTTGCTGTCCAGGCGTGGACCCCAGATCCCTCAGGAAAACACAGGTAGGGCCACGGCCATCAGAGAGCGCCGAGGCTGGGCTCCCCTCTGAGGGGAAGCGTGGGTCAGAGATGGCTGCCGGGGACGGCGGCTGCGGAGCAGGCCTGGAGGGAGGCTGGGGCGTCCTGGCACCACCGGAAGAGGCAGGAGACCCAAAGCCTGTGTGGAAACTGCACTGGCTCCCCAGGGCAGAGCCTGGGGTGTCGGGGAGCAGGAGGGACACAGGCTCGTGAGGGCAGGAGAGCCAGTCACCCCCGAGGGCTCCGAATGCCAGGCCGAGGGAGCTGGATGTTATTTGGGGTCAGGGGAGCCACTATCCACAGGCCTCCAGCCAGGCCCTGCCTCCAGCTGGCCCTGAGACAAGCTCTTCAGCCTCCCTGTACCTGTTTCCTCGTCTGTGCAGTGGTCCCGTGCACCTGGGTACCATGGGCTCATGTGCAGGTGAAGGGAGGCATGAGAGCACTTCCTGGCGCAAAGCACGTGTTGAGTGAACGTTAGCTACTGCTGTTGTTACTGTTATCGTTCATTCATTCGTTCATTCATTTGTTCGTTCATTCATTCATTCATTCAGCAACTGTTTCCCGAGCTCTGACTGGGTCAGGCGCGCTTCTCATCCCTGGGAACACAGCAGCGAGCAGCACAAACACGGTCCCTACGCTCGTGTGGCTTACGGCTTGCCTTCTAGAGGGGGCCCGCGGCCAGCACGGGAGACAAACGAGATGAACCTGTTGGTCGGAATTAGGGAGGACAAGGAAGCAGAGAAAGGAACAGGGTCGTGCTGAGGACGTGGGGAACAGCACTTTAAGTAGGATGGTCAGGGGAGGCCTCCCCAGGAGTCCACTGGACGGAAGGCTGAAGGGCGTGAGGGGTGAACAGAAGCAGGGGGCCTTAAGGAACCGGCGCTTTTCTGCAGGCGGGAGGACAAGTCTACCTCAGGAGGCTGACCTGGCAGTGGCTGGGTGGGACAGACCATGTGGCAGGCAGCAGGCGAGGGGCCCGAGGAGGCCCTGGCCTAGTCAAGGCAGTTCCAAAGTGGCCTCCAGACGGCAACTCGTGAGGTGCTGCCAAGGAAAATAGTAAAACTTCTCTATTTCTTTTGTATTGTGTTGTCCTACCATTTCTATTTTGGCCTGCATTATATTATACATAAAATATTACTCTGGGTGGAACTTGGAGGTGTAGGTGCCAGAGGCAGAGGGCCAGTAGTCCAGGCAGGAACCGACAAGCCAGGGGCTGCGTGGGACGGAGAAGGGGTCGATGGGCCCAGAGCACAGCAACCACCTGAGGAGGACTCGGGCAGTAGTCTTGACAGATCCGGCCAAGGAAAGAGGAGAGGGGTCCGATGTCCTTGAAGACGCGGGCCCAGCGCTCGGAGCACAGGCCCAAGCGCCAGGCCCGTGACACCTGAGCATCCCTCCTCTTCGGGAGGCAGGGGCTGCCACGCAACTCAGGACTCCATGGGAGAGAGTGGAGGCCTGCGAGTGGAGGAAAGGTCGCTTTCCTGCTTTTTTGGAAAGCGACAGCTTAGGGGCTGCCACGCAACTCAGGACTCCGCGGGAGAGAGCGGAGGCCTGTGAGTGGAGGAAAGGTCACTTTCCTGCTTTTTTGGAAAGCGACAGCTTGGTTTTCAGAGGGCTGTGTCAATGTTGAATGGTTCATAGTCTCCGGGGCGCAGTAACCCTGCCTGGTTGGAGGGCAGGAGTGATGGAGCAACCATTTTATCTCCTGCCGGTAAACATGGAAGCTGCGGACTGCTCCGTGTGTACACTTTCTTGCATCAGGAGAACAGGCTGGTGCCCTCGAAGGGCTGTGTGCCTCTGGCTTACTTGTCCTTGGGCCCATCCCAGCCCCTTCTTTACGGTTTTACGGTTGTCAGGGCTGAGGGCAGGTGCCCCGGATACCAGGGTGGGCCCTGAGCGTGGATGTCCTCAGAGGGGGACAGGGCCAGGCAGGCCTACCTCCCCTCTGGCGGATGGTGACATGTGTGCCCTCCGAGGCCCTACAGCAGGAACGACTGGAGTCCCTGTGTCACAGTGGGCGGGTCCACTCAGCCTGGGGCATTGGCTGGCTCTGGGCCCTGCGTATTCCAGATGCGCTCCTGCCAGACTCCCATGGGGGGGCTGTAAATGTCCCCAGCCAGAGTCACAGCCGTTCGCAGGGCCTGTGAAGGGCAGTGAACCAGGAAAGCATCTGCCTTCTGCTCTCTCCCCACAGCTGAAGTCTACATTGGCATCGGGAAGCCTGCAGAAGCCACAGCCTGTACTCAGGAAGCTGCCAACCTCTTCCCGATGTCCCACAACGTCCTGTACATGCGCGGACAGGTTGCTGAGCTCCGGGGAAACCTCGATGAAGCCCGGCGGTGGTACGAAGAAGCCTTATCCATCAGTCCCACGCACGTGAAGAGCATGCAGCGACTGGTGAGTCTCAGAGCCAGGCTAGGACCCCACTCCTGGATTGGGGCTCCCCTTGGAAGCAGCAGGTAGCTCGTGACCCCTAAACCCCCTTCCTCTTCGAAGGCCCATGCACTTAGCCTGCCAGGCTGTCGAGTTGCATGGGGCCAGCAGCACCATTCCCGTGTGGTTTATGCAGATGGAGCCCGTGGGAGTTGGCAGTGCTCACTCTTAGCCGCCGTACCCAGTGGTCCTGTTCTGCGCAAGGGGCGGTGGGAGTCACTGGTCCCCTGGGCCTTGCTTGTAGCAGCCACCTCGGGGGGTGTCCATACCCCAGGGAGACTCCAGCTTGTCTCCGAGGCTGCCGGCTAGTAGGGGCATCTTAGAGGAGGCAAGTCACCTAGTTTCCACCCTGCGTATGGGGGCAGTGGCTCCCCAGAAATGCACCTGCGCCCTCCCAGATGCCCAGGCCAGAAGCCTGGGGCTGCCCTGCTGCCCCCCTCCCTGCCTGGCCTGGAGTCAGCTCTCCCTCCGCCTCGGCTTCGGTCAGGTGGGGGTCACCTGACCTGATCGCCCTGCAGCGTTCTCGTCGTTGCACTGACGGAGTTTGGCACGTGTATTGAGCACAGCTGCCCCCCAAAGCTGGCGGTCTCCTGTTACCTTCTTGTGAGGGTCTGAATCGAAACTCAAAGGTTACCAAAGTCTGAGTTGCTGCTAAAAAGCCCTTCTGCCTCTCTGCCCCTGCGTGCCCGGCTGAGGTTCGGGATTTGTGCTTTGTACTCAGGGATAGGGTATCTCTGATTTAATGAACCGCAGGAAGAGGGAGCCTTAGAGTGAGCTGAGGTGGCCTTCGTGTCCGCAGCCCTTGGGAGCCCGGTGTCCGTAATCAGGGGTTAGTGTGGGATTCGAAGAGCGAGCACTGGACAGGGAGTCTGAGAACAGACCCTGCGCCATCAGTCACTGGCTCTTAAACCTTGGGGAAAAAGACCCTAAGCTGTCTGCACTCAGTTTCCTTTCTGTAAAATGAAAACAAGCAGCTCGAGGGGCTGTGAGTCTCATCCAGCACCAGGAGGGTAATGTTTTGTACCTAAGAAGTCAGATGTTCTCGGAAGGATCCCAAAGCCTTCATTCTCTTGCCATTTCTCATAGTAATAGGGCAGAATGTACGAGGGGCTCAGCACTTTCAAAAGTGACTAACTACTAGTTTCCAGTTTTAAAGATAAGTCAGACCTTATCATAATTACAGCTACTTGATTTTTTCACCTTCCCTTTATTGAGCATTTTGTAGCTCAGTACAGCTTTATAAATAATTTTACATATTATCCAAACATTAGTGTATTTGATTAAAAATATTACATGGCTTTTAATTTTTTGTCTCTCTATTGTAAGAGGGATTTGTAAAGAGCTTTTCAGATCTCTGTGCTTTTGCTAGAGCATCGCAGAAGAGGTATAATCAACGCCGTGTACCCAGCCTTTTTATTGAAAAGAAGCAGCCTGTTTCTACCCCGGGGCCTATGAATTATTCAGACAAGTATTTCTTGCTCATCCCCAAGGGGAACACATGAGACAAAAGATCAAATAGGAAAATCGCACTGGGGAAGTTTTCTGTTTCACCTTTGGAACTTTTTGAGACACCCGAGCTCCCCAACCAATGGCAGATGCTTTCCTTTCAAAAGGAGTAGCCCCGGCCAGGGGAGCTGGTGAGCGGGGCCCAGGTGAGGGCTCGCCTTGCCTGCCGGATCAGGGGCAACAGCTGAGCCTTGTCTGGCTCAGAGGCATTCTTGCCAGTAGAAAATAGTCCTCATAAACCCTTAAGACTTTTCTCAGTGCATCCTGATATATTCAGAAACTGTCCAGACTAGAGGCAGGTTGAGACCAGGAGGCCTACAAATTTCGAAGGGTTTAGATCCTTGGAGTCTAATACTGCCCAGGGACTGTGATTGGGATGACCCCAAAGGGCAGCTTGGATGGCCCCTTCGTGGTGACCTTGTAAATGACGCTCCCTGGCCTGTGTTCCCCAGACTGCCCCCCCACATGGTGTCTGTGGAGGGGAGGCCCCCAGAGCCCCCAGGTCCCCCAGCCCTGACACATCACAGCCCTCTCTTTCCCGCCTCCATCCCCAGGCTGTGCAGGAAAGCTGTGTGTCTATGGCATGGGGCCTACCAAGGGAAGAAGGTGGCCTTTGCAATACACTCTAGAAGCTAAGGATGAGGCTCCAGGCCAGAAAAGGTGTGAGATTTGAATCCCAGCTCTGTCACTTACTGGCTTTGGGACCACAGGCAAGTCACCCTCTTGGTGCCTCAGCGTCCTCAGATGTATGAATGGGGATAATATTAGGGCCAGACACAAATTAAAGCACAGAACTGAAATCTCTTATCAAGGCACAAAAGGCCCTGCCTCTGCCCTCACGGAAACCAGACTGGTTCGCAGGCCCCTAGGTTGAGGGACAGGGGTCAGCAGAGAGATCAGAAGCCTTTTACCACCAAGGCCCAGGGAAGAGCCAGGGGCTCAAGACTTCTGTGGTGGAGTGGGTGGAAACGGCTGAGAGCCGTGACAGTCGCCCAGCCCTCCGGGTGAGGAGGGTGCAAGCGAGGGGCTTGGCCAGGCCAGGGCAAGGCTCAGAAGATCCAAGTTAGGAGTTTGAAGAACATGAGCACTGGAAACTTCCCGAAAACCAATCAAGGGGGTTTCCGGGGAAGGAACCCATTGCAGGCGGACTATGGGTCGTAGAAAAAACCAGACAACGGAAAGTGTATCCACACCAGCCGTACTGCTCAGGGAGGAAAGTGGGGAGGTGGAGGGACAGTGGGAGGGAGCTGTTTTGGAGGAAGGAAGCCATGTCCACTGTAGGTGGAACCCAGGTAGCAAATGGCAATGGCAGAGACCTGAATATGGTCAGGAGCTCGGCTTATTCCGTGAAGAACAATGACTTGCTGACTTCTAGGGGTTGTTAGTGACAGCGTTCGCCAGATCGCCCGACCCAGCTTGGAGGAGAGGTACCACTTAAGCAGAAACGCAAACACATTCATATTGCTAAAAAAGTAATAATGACCTGGAGGAGTTGGTATTCATTAAGGTTAATGGAAGGTCAGACTTGACAAAAGAAATGGAAATTACACCCCAGTGAAAATGAACACTTTTCTAATAGTTTTAGCCTTCATCTGTGTGTTTAAATTCACATATAGAAAGAAGGGAGAGCAGAAATAATGTGTTTAATATTAATAATGAGTTAGCACCAGACAAGGGAGGCAGAGAGCTGAGTGTGGGCAGACATTAAAGGACCAGTGAGCTGAAGGGATAAGGAATTACGAAGTAATGTTGACAAGGGGAGGAATTCGGAGAGTGATCAGACTTCTTCCAGAGAATCTAAAGGCATATTTTCATATCATTTTTGCATAAGCGCATACATTTACATGCATTTGCCTGCCATATTTCATTCCCAGTACCCCACATGAATTAATGAAACCCAGAGCGTCCTGTGATCTGGAGTAAGGGGAGAGGAGAACACGGGGCTGCCGGTGTCCTGGGGGGCAGAGGAACGGCCTCCTTGGGCAGTGCTGCCCAGGCCAGGGACAGGCACAGAGACTCAGGGCAGCCAAGGACAGAATTACCAGGAGGACAGGGACAGGCTTTGCAAACAGGGACATCTGCTTAACATCTGATAATGTCAGCCTGGGCTCTCGGGGGCAATGCGTGAGATTGGAGGGTGAGAAAGGGAGAACTTTCAGGAGAGGAACGAGTGTGGCAGGGAGCCAAGAAGGCAGTCTAAGAGGCGCTGATAAAGCGAAGAGGGAGAAATAAATTTATCCTAGACCATATTAGCAGGGAAACTCAGGCCTTCCTCCAGACCATGTGACAGGGTGAGAAAAGGTGTGGCACAGAGGCAAGTGGTGGGGGCCGCCCAGGGCTTCCCAGAGAGAAGGGGCAGAGCGCTGAAGAGGGCTGTGAGCTGGAGAGGGACTGGGCCCAGGGGGAGCAGGGGAGGGCAGGGGTGAGCCAGAGCCCACCCCGCCCTCGCAGGGGGCAGGAGGAGAGCTGGTGTGTCACCCTGAGGGGCCAGCTTCCCCCTAGAGCAAGTCTGGTACGACAGAGGCACTGATATTCCAGAGCTGTTGCTCAGAGAGGAGAAAATATAGGCTAAAAGCACTAAGGGGCCAGCCTCTTGAATGTTGACGTTCCCAAGACAAGGCCTAGAAAGGGACAGAAGCCAGCAGTCATTCAGAGGAGGGTAACCAGAAGGCTGGGGAAGGCGGGAAATTGCACCCCCTCGGCCGAAGTCATGGTGAGAGACCATTGGTGGGGCTCCCCAAAGAAACGGGAAGATGGCTGAGAAGAGAGGCGGTTGGGGGCGATGGGGTAGGCCCGGCACTCCACCCAAGGAGTGGGGCTGAGGCCTGTCTTCTGTGGAAGGATTGTTAAGACATGAAAAGCCCCCCAAAGGTCAGTCACGATGGCTTCAGGTGGTCTCATACACAGGCTGTCTTTGAGGGTTTTCTCCACGGTCTTACGTTTTCCAAAACTCCAGAAGTCTGGAGTGACGTGAAAGCCGTTAGAAGTGGCGTTGGACTTCTGTTCCAGGGTGTACATTAGTGGGCAAGACTGGCAGGATGGTGGAGCTGTTGGAAAAGTGCATTTGATGAAGAAGTGGCAGAAGCATGTCAAGCGGATGGCGGGTTTAGAAGGAGGACAGCCAGTGGGCCGTGCGGTGGGACGTGTCTTGTGGACTGTTACTACGTTTAAGTTGTTCTACCAGCTCTAAGGTTTGACCCAGAAGTATTCGTCACAACGAGGCTGGCTAACGACACTGATCAGGAAGAAGGCTCTTCGGAGGTTCAGAGCGGGGCCGGGCGTCCGAGCTCCCTTTAAACTGTCTTCGGGCTTGCTGACTGTGGGAAAAGACTTCCTCCCAGGATGCATGACGAGCTGGCTGGGTGGCAGGGAGGGTCTGAATCCAGGGAAAGAGGGGAGCTCTGGCTTGCCGCCGGCAGCTTGCACTGCAAAGTGATGGAACCTGGGTGTTGTTCTCC